GAAAATATGAAGCTTTTGAAAATTAATAAAACATCTAGAATAATTGGTCACGGACCTTAAATAATTTACTACATAAAATATATCTTATAGAATGACTAGGATACACAAATAAAACAATGAATTCATTAAACGTAAAACATCATAGCCTAAGTCCTCACTAAAATACAATAGTTCAAATGATGTAATAATAGTTTTGTGCCATCGACTATGCCTCGCACAACCTTCAAATTTACACATCACTATAAATTTTTACACGTTCACACGTTTAAATATCATAACCAACTCATTCTTCTTGTACCAAAGTAACCTACCTGAAAGGGTTATCAGACAAACTCAATTTTATTCACACGCCAATTTAGCATCAAAACTTGTTAGCGCAATGGAAAAAGCTTGAAGTGGACACATTGGATACATAAAATCCATTGTGAAGGTTTCTTCGGTCACACGACCAAATTGCATTATAATATAATCCACTAATAGACATTTTCGTAAGTAAATTTGCACATATAATTTGAAAAATATATTGTTTGAATACTTACAATCATTATCATGTACTATTTGGAAGTTCTTGACAGAGGCCATAGTTACTCGGCCATTGAAATTTAGAACATATGATTGCGTCTCTAAAAAAAAAAAAAAAAAAACAAAAAAAAAAATATCCGAAATTTTTAGAAATTAATAATAAAATAAAACATTGATTTTCTTCAAATTTATTAAAGATATCAAAACCTTCGTTCCACTGCGGTGACTTATTATGTAAGATTAATATATCTCGATGATCCCCACTCCTAAATTTTCCAATCAAAGTTTGTGATTCCTAAATAATGAATAATGTGTTATATATATATATTTTTTTGCTTTACAAATAATCATCAAAAAAAGTACTGCTTACGGTAGTAGGTCTAAATTCTGGTCTTTCTCCATTTCTGGTCATGCCTAGTAATAATACGGTCATTTTACGTGGACCTTTAAATCCAAGAATATTTGGATCCTGTATTACAAACGTACCACAATTATTAGTTATACTACTATTTTCCTTGAAAGCCAATGCGTGCAAGAAATTGATTGACTTACGTAAACTACGGCACCTAATTCTTCTCTAATTTGCATATCTGCTAATTCTGGTTCACGTTTAAACGGACTTCGTCCGTTTGAATACATAACAAAAGCTGTACCCAAAAAATTTGATCTATCTCAAATATACGTAACTTCATGTCAAAACAATATATTAAACTATAAATTTTATAGATTTAAATTAGATTATTTGATCAACCTGACTTTCCCAACGATTTTTTTCGATGAAACGGAGTCAAGTCGTGCAGTTGTAATAACATAATGTGAATTTTTACTATTTTTCTTCTTTTTTGCTGCAAGAAGAAATGTTCTTCTAGGTTCATCATTCTCAATCGGTTCCTCAATGTAAAGCTCATATTGTGGATAAAGTTTTCCAAATCCCTCTTTACTTCTAGTTATCTTACAAAGAACTTTTTGCCCTTGTGGGACTGGACTAAACAGAGAATAATTTTAATAAATCCTGTGCTTATATTTTATTTACCTAATAGATTCATAAAACAGATAAAATACTATACTTCATAACAAAATCGATTACTTCTTGTTCAGTCATTTCGACCTTTGGTTTTGAGAACCGAAAGGTTTCGATCATTTGTGCAGTTGGGCGATTTATAACAACAGCACGTAATAATTCTGCTGGTGCAACCGGTTGAGATATTGTTGTAGTTGAACCATTGAACGAGACAGTAGATCCGGTATTATTTCTTGCTGATAAATATTGACTATAATTGTTCCTCTATAAAAAATTGGAATTTTGTGCATTTATAAATAAACTGCCTTATTTTACGAATAATGAATCGAAATTTTGTAGTACCCTTGTTGATGTTCGAGAATTTTCACCAAGCTCCATGTCATCATCATCATCATCATCATCTATGACACTTTGTTCATCTTCTAAAGTACCATCATTGTCTGATTCATTAATCGATAAATTATTGATAGCTGATATTATTGTTGGTGAAATGTTCACAGAATCTAAATATTTGAAATGAAATTCGTCAATTTATATTATTTATGTGGCAAAACTCATTTAAAATTACCGTCAAAGTTTCCTGTGGGTATTTGAAGAAAATTCGAATTGCCATTTTGAATTTGTTGTTCGTTCATTTTGGTTACAATGTTAAGGTTTATATGATGGATAAAGGTAACAAGATTCTCTTTCGTCAAACACAAATAAAACAACTT